CCATGTCTTCTCTTCTTCCTGCTACCTCAGTAAACGTTAAGGGAGATGTAAGGATCTTCTGTGTGCTCTTTTTTCCGTGTCTTCTCTTCTTCCTGCTACCTCAATAAACGTTAAGGGAGATGTAAGGATCTTCTGTGAAGGATCATTTACTTTGTTAAAACCATGTCCTCAATATGCCACAAAGTGCACATCTAATCTTTCAAATTTAGCTGTAACCCAATTGTTTATAGTTACAGTGACAATGATTTAGAAATAGAAAACACACAAAATGGATTTGTGATGAAAACAGCATTTAACAACCAATAAGATGTGTGCAAGACAAAGCAAATAAATAAACAACAAAGGAAGCAAATTTAAGAGCAAATAAATTTTTCAAAATGAATAATTAATAAGCAGAAAGACGTGTCCTTTCTTTTTATCTTGGCAAGTTAACAGCTTTGGTTTTATTGAAAAAAATTAACTTTAAAAGATATATAAATCTGGTTAAAGTAATGCAACCCTCACATGTCTGAATTAGAAGTAATGTGTGGATGAATTTAAAGGAAAAAACATCCATGTTGATTAACTGTTTTCATACATACAAGTGTATGAATTTATTGTAAAACAAATAACTATTCACATTATGAAAATATGGTTGAAATGTTGAATAAAACCTTACATAACTGTGCATATATAATTATTCTGTTTTAAAACAATGCACTAAATTATACTATTAAAAAAAACCCACATTTATACAATTATTTACAACATACTTCAGAATTTAATACAATTATAAACAAATTTCTTAAAAAAATTATATGCCTTCTGCCTTTGCCCTTAAAAGGGTGGCTGACATGTTGTGTTGTAGTTGCAACATCTATGGCTTTCAGCCCAACACATCTGATTTCAGTAAACCCGTAATTAGTTACCTTTTACAACATATTAGTTAAAATATCCTGGATCTACTCTTTTTTCCCTCTACAACTTGGACTCTGGAACACACATGAAAAATATTTTGTGTTAAAATAAAATGAATATTTGAACTAAAAAAATTGTATGCCTATTGTAACCATACTGAATACCCCTAAACTTCAGAGATGTTCCGATATGTTCGCACACAACAAATATAAGTAAAATACTGGACAACGATTACATCAGTGGCACATTTTGGATGTGGTGCTAGACTTGTATTTTGATACACCAGTGGGCATCTGATTGCTGATGTGGTAAAACATAACCTGCTGACCACCTGTACTTCCAAAAGACATACCTGGTACCCATTTTAAGATGTATCCGCCTGACAGCCAAAGTCAATTTTGAAAACAAATCCTCCTTGATGTGAATCTGAACCTTAGACCTTGGAACTGACAGCTGAGCGTCCAGCCACAATATATATGTGGCAAATAAAATATACTGAGTTACGCTTGATTATATTCTCCCCCATGTGGGAGCTGAAATGCTAAAGAAAGATTCTCAAAATACCATGGATAGAAAAGAGAAGAAATACTGATCTGAACATAAAAAAGAACTGGCTAATAAACAGCATCTTGTCTCGGAAGCTGAAATCATTTGGTAATATCAAGCACCATGGCGGATTAGACAAAATAATAGCAGATAGCAGAAGGCTTGATACCAGGAAGGAGGGGCAGGGGCTGACCGACACGAAGATGGGCACATGATGTAAGTGACTCCTTGAATATGAAAGTACATGAGGCGGGAGAGCCGGCAAGAGACCGAGTTCCTTTAAGGCAGGTCATGATGAGAACGACATTCTGCAAAGGACCTGCTACACGATGATGATGATGATGTGGGTTCTGAGGCCCCACTTTTAGAGAAAAAGAATCAGTATCTCCATGCTCAATGTACCTAGTAGGAGATGACTGGCATTTCTTCTTTCTTTGCCCCACAATCAGTTTCTGCATGCTAGTCTTGTTTAATACCCATTTCCAACAGGTGGTTCCTTGTCTCCGACTCCTTTGACTTTATGTCTCCGGAACGCACTGCATTCGGTACGTGTAATAAAACTTGTCTAATAAAATATCCTTCCATCTTTCTACTTCTTTCTATGAGTGCCGATCAATACATTGTCTGTTTGTTTATTATATATAAATTCAGTATGTCTGCCCTGTCCATACTTTTTTGCCCACTAACTACATATTTCCATATATAACTCCCCCCACCCAAAAAAAAAAAAAAGAAGCAAAAAAAAAAAAAAAAAAACCACAAAAATGTGATGATTTTGCTACACATTAATAACACCCAGTCAAGTATAGTGGTTGTCTGTGACAGAAAGAATTAACTCTTTCTGGTGTTGGATCTACCCCGATCATGAGACAAAAAGTCCCTTTTTACGCCAGCGATGTGTCATGTGGGATGCCAGTCTCACATTTTTAAAAACCGATCGGCACTCAGTGGGTGATGCTACAGTCAACATCACACAAGCCACATTTAAGTCATAGGTCATTTACATGATATGCAGTTCAGATCCCACACATAGTGAAAACAAACACCTAGGTGTTTAAAAAAAAAAAAACTTTACGAGCTGTGAGGTTGATGTGGCAATCTTTTTAGTTATATACATTTTTATGAAGGACACAAAAAGTCTAAACTAAAAAAAAAAAAAAATACTGAGCTATGCTTTCTTATATCCTAATAATGGATTCACATATAATGACAACAAATGGGTACACTGAAAACTACGAGCTGTGATGTTTTCAATGTATGTGCTTCATCAAATACAATCAATTAATTAATAAAGAAAATGTATGTATTTGAACAAAAATTTTGTATATAGCTTACAAAGACAATAGGAGATTAGATAAACCTTAATATTATTTAAAAGAAATATTTTTGGAAGTTACTCATTGAAGGCAGTGAGCACAGGATGGGGACAACATTTAATTTTCACCAGAAAAGACAGGCGTACTTCTAGTTAGATTGCAGCTAGCACCAGCATTGGAACTCCTCAATGGCTTCTGAGGAAAAGGACACAGCAAGAGTGGGATTGTTCTCAGAGCTGTGATATGAAGTGTTGATTTATTAATTCATAATTCAAAACTGCTGAGCTAATGATACAGTCTAAGGAAAAAAAACCCGATTTCTTGATGAATCATCACAAGCTGTTGTAGTGGGTAGTAAAATATAGAACTGTGTGCAACAACCTCTGCCTATGTGGATAGAAGTGTGTAAGAGTGACATCAGCATCACACTCTTAAACGTCTGCTGGAAGATACCCAGCACAGTTCTGGGTTTGTCTTGGCCGCCATTATAACAATTCTTTACCATAACAAATCAAATTAAATACATTTCAGATACCATAATAAATATGTTGAATACATGAATATGAAATGGCCAATGTCAGAACAGTGCGAGTTATAGAGAATTATGCAACCAAAGACCTGGATATGCCAACTGCGACACCCAAAATGCAGTTGTACAAGCTGAAAGACAACAAATTGTGGCATCATTCTGGTAAATAACTATCTCTGTTGAATTATGAATATCAACACAAGGCCTTCGGTACAGTGATACATATATGGCATCTCTATTCCTAATAAACACTGCACATTACACACACACAAACACCAGACAAGGCATTTTATAAAAACAATAATACAACCCAAGTTTAAGACACTGTGATGGCTTTGGAACATTTGTAACACTGTGTCATGAAATACATTGATCTGAATATAAATACTGAGAGGCAGATAGCCAAGCTGTGGAATGCTGGGCTCTTATGTGGAAGATCAGGGTTTGATCCTTGATAAGGAATGGAGATTTTTGTCTGTTGGATGCTAAAACAAACTTTCTAACCAGCATAGGTCGTGCTGACTGTACTAGCAAAGCCGCCTGTACTAGCCATGCCGCCTGTACTAGCCATGCCGCCTGTACTAGCCATGCCGCCTGTACTAGCATGCCGACTGTACTAGCCATGTTAACTGTACTAGTCCTGCTGACGGAACTAGCTATGCCGCCTGTACTAGTCATGCTGACTGAACTAGCTATGCCGACTGAACTAGCTATGCCGACTGAACTAACTATGCTGACTGTACTAGCCATGCTGACTGAACTAGCCATGCTGACTGAACTAGCCATGCTGACTGAACTAGCCATGCTGACTGAACTAGCCATGCTGACTGAACTAGCCATGAGGCCTTCAATCTTCAGGCTCATGACCTCTATGCCCTAAACCGCTCCAAAAGTGGTCAGTCCTTCTTCTTCTGCCTTTCTGACCGCCAATGGAGCATAGGCCTTCAACCTACTCACGCCAAGTAACTATCCTTTGTTTATCGCATTCTGCTCTCCCTATCTTTTTAACTTCACTCTCTAGCTCCTTTCTCCAAGTCTTTTTTGGCCTTCCTTTATTTCTGTGGGTTCCCGTGCAAAGATATTCTAGTGATATTTTTCTCAGGGTTTCTTACCGTGTATCCTTTTCAAGGCCAGTGACTTTTTGTCACCTCTTTGTCCAGGCAGTAAAAATAGCTTCATTTTAATAAGTGGAGAATTTTCAGGAATAGTTTATTTTACAGGATTACAGCTTCTTGTTTATTTGCCAAGAAACAGTTCCTCAACTCTTTCAGTCCCAAACAATGTGTGATGTGTGATTAGCACTGACATGAATCCCACCCAACATGTAATATGTTCAGCAACATATGAACAGATTATCAAGTCTAATATAAATGGTCTGCTGAAGTAAATATCTAAGCAAATGCATTTGGGACAGACATTGGAAGGACAGTCACTGGAATGAAACAGAGTATATTTCACAGCCTAGGAATGAAATGTTATGGTGGAATGTCAAGTACAAAAGCACACATGTTTGCAAAAACTTCATGACTATATGTAACTAGCACTCACCAGTTAGTGAATGGTGTTTCACAAATTTTGTGTAATGGCAGTCTTGTTGAATCTGAATGTCAGTCACTAGTCTTGGTGCCTTGTTTCAGGTACAGGTTACTGTTTCTTTACTCCTTGCCTAAAGTGGCAAGATTTATGTCTCAGACTAATGAAACATATCACAATCACAAGGAAGCAGATCGAGGCACTGTAGTACCGCTTGTATCAGGGGGTACCAAGATCGGAATGATTAAATCATCCATGTTGGGCATCACAAACACACGCTGTGGACACAATAAACAGACTCAAATAAGAAGTTGACCATAAATACTTGCAACATGCAAAGGATAGGAGGAACAGTGAATGCAAACTGAGATATACAACATAGACATGAATGTAGTATATACAAGAGTTAAGTGATTCTGTGTATTCCTGTTTGTTCCATGAATGTAGTATAAAAGAGTTGAGTGATTCTGTGTATTCCTGTTTGTTCCATGAATGTAGTATAAAAGAGTTGAGTGATTCTGTGTATTCCTGTTTGTTCCATGAATGTAGTATAAAAGAGTTGAGTGATTCTGTGTATTCCTGTTTGTTCCATGAATGTAGTATAAAAGAGTTGAGTGATTCTGTGTATTCCTGTTTGTTCCATGAATGTAGAATAAAAGAGTTAAGTGATTCTGTGTATTCCTGTTTGTAACTGTCTATGGATAACAAATACTGAACTTTAAACTGCAACTGCAGATGTTTTACTTAATCCATTCTAAGTGATAAATCCAGATTCATGTGGTGCCTTTTATATACTTTGTCTTGATGCAACGCCACCCATATGTGGGACGCAATTTTTCATTATTTTCCCCGAAAAGACCCACTGCCCCTCCCCCTCCCCACTCGGTTATAACCTGGTAACAGTCAGATGACAAAAGAAAAAAGAAGCAACTTATTGATAAAGTGTACCTGAAATTCAGTTGCCAACTTTTTCTCAATCCACTCTATTATGTGGGTGATCGTTATTGCACGTTCGCCAACTTGTGGCTTAGCTGACAGGCGGAGGTGTGGGTTGCCAAGGAAGCCATACCTACAATGAGAAAAAAAGTTATTTAAAAAAACCATCTTTTGAGACTTAAGAAAAATGTGCACAAACTTTTAACCATTTTGCAGGAGAATTCTTGACAACTATCTTTCTCACTTGTTTTCTTTTCTTTCTGTTATTCATCCTCATTAACCTTATAACTACTGTGTGTTACAGTAGTGTAGTGTCCAGATATTTACCTGCTGGTCCAAAAGTCTCGGGTTCTTCTTCTCGTTCACCGGCTGTAAACTGCAGTGGAAAGTTCTGGTTCTTCTTCCACCTCAGGACTAATCTTATTCTAGAACCTGAGTGCCACATACACATGCATTTTACAGCATTCGTTTCACAGATTCACAGCATCTGTTTTACAGATCTGACCTATTTGTGCGCAGATTGTTGGTTCGTAGCCTATCAGACAGATGCACACTGACTCTAAAGAATGCCCATAATAAGTCAACTCTTACGACATGTTTGTTAGGGAGGCAGTGGGTCTGTTCGTCTTCCCCACAATGAGGCCCCATAACCCCCACTGTGAGGTCTAGGGTTCAAATCTGTATTGAGGCAGATTTTTTTTCAAAGATGGCCTCTACTCTCAAGTCGAACCATCCTAAAATTGGTACCAGGTAATGTACTAGGAAGTAAGGGCAGCCACCAGGATTATGTTTACCACATTACTCATTTAGTGCTGTCATTTTCTGTAACAATTTTAAATCTACAAGTACACGCCTATTGTGCCAAAAGCGTCCTTTATTTTGTTTTATGACTACTACAGATGTTGGATATACAATCACTGTTACTGGTGTCAACAGAACTGGAACTCCACACCTGCTGCTGAAGATGGGGATGCAATGCTCAGGGAAATGTCCTGAGTGCTGTGATGTTGATTCATAATTCAATATTCAACCTATCCTTACAAGTACCGTGGGTGATTAGCACAGGTGCATTTCAACAGTCATGGCTTAATCCTGTGGGTGGTTGACAACAACTGGTCATAAAAATACTGTGGGTGCCTTATAAGGACTCTTTCTTACTACTAAGTTATTTGATTATCAAGGGTGCCTTACAAGTACTACTAGTAATTACAGAGGGTGTTTTATAACTACCATGGTTGTTTGTGTGTGCAACTCTTGCCATCTTCAACATAATATATAAATTCAAGTCTATCTGGATTCTAAGACACACCACAGTCAGTCTGGATTCTAATACGCAGTCAATCTTGATTCTTATATGTGCCACAATCAATCTACTATTCTACTCTGTACCACAATATATCTTGATTCTAATATGTGCCACAATCAATCTACTATTCTACTATGTACCACAGTCTATCTGGATTCTAATATGTACCACAGTCTATCTGGATTCTAATATGTACCACAGTCTATCTGGATTCTAATATGTACCACAGTCTATCTGGATTCTAATATGTGCCACAGTCTATCTGGATTCTAATATGTGCCACAGTCTATCTGGATTCTAATATGTGCCCGTCAATATGAATTCTAATATGTGACACAATTTATCTTGATTCTAATATGTCCTACATTCTATCTGGATTCTAATGTGTGCCACAATCTATCTAGATTCTAATGTGTGCTACAATCTATCTGGATTCTAATATGTGCCACAGTCTATCTGGATTCTTATGAGTGCTACAATCTATCTGGATTATAATAAATAACACATCATGTCTGTCTGATTGACGAGGTAGGATACTTAGAGCCAGCTGTGCATCAGACTAATTGTAACTGATAAAGTAAAAGGTAAGCTGGATATATTCTCTAAATTCTAAAAAAAAAAAAAAAAAAAAAAAAAAAAAAAAAAAAAAAAAAAAAAAAAAAAAAAAATTCGCATACGTACCACAGTCTATCATCAATCTAATACACAGTCAATCTTCTAATATGTACCACAGTGTATCCAGACTCGAATAAATATCATTGTCAAATGGATGAGTGGGATATTGACAAGAAGCTGTTTACCAGATTAACTGAATCTGACAAAGTCAAAGGTAAGATGTATTTGTTCTCCATGCTCTCAACCCCCACACCCCATTTCATAGTGCCCCTGTATAATTACTATACAGATATAAGTCTGAATGGTGTTTATGGCATCTGCTGCTGTTTGCTTCTCATCCCTGAGACGTTAATTCTAAATATTACAAATCTGGAGCGGACAAACTTCAAATAAAAAAAAAAAAGATTTTTTTTTTACAGTCAATTATAATATATTCTGCAGTTTGTTTATATTCTAATACATACCATAGTCTGTCTGACGGAGGAGGTGGGATATTGAGAGCCAGCCTGCCCACCAGACTGACGACGGTCACTGACAAAGTCAGAGGTGTGTTGGACACATTCTCCATGGCCCGTTTCACCACCTTGTATTCTGTGGCCTGCTGGAAATACTTTGACTGGGCAAATTTACTCAGGTAGTGAATGAATTTCTTGCTGGCACCTCCACCTGATGCACTGTTATGGAAATGAAAATATTTCTATATTACGACACACACAAAAATCTTATGAACTATGTAACCAGAATAATCATCAGCATCATCAGGTAGCAGGTTTTTTTGCAGAACCTCACTCTAATCAGTCTACCTAAAAGAAACTCAGTCTCTTACCAGCTCTTCTGCTTTGTGGGCTTTTATAACCAAGGAATTACCCGGCTCGCTAGCTCCATTGGTTAAAACCCTCTGTGAGGTGACTGGGTGAACTCCTTGTGGTCCGTGTTCCGCCCGGGGGTAGGCAGAAAAGCCACGTTTCTCCCAGATTTATGGTATCTATCATGGAATCAAGGCCAAAGGTTTGCGATATCCATAGTATCGAGCCAAAAGGTTTACAACTCATGGTTTCTAGATACTTTGAAAAACAAAAAAATCCAAGGAATCATATCTTGTGCCCATCTTCATGTTAGTTGGCTCCTGCTATTACTTCTTTGTACCATGCCTTCTGCTTTTATTTTTCCAATCTGCTGAGGCGCTTGATACTGCCAAAATATTTCAGCTTCTAAGACAAGATGCTGTTTGCTAGCCAATCTTCCTTGATGTTCAGAGCTTTTTAAAAGGTCAGTATTTTTCTTTTTTCTCTTTGCCCATGCTACTCTAAAAATCTTTCTATAGCATTTTAGCTCAAAAGTCTCTATTTTCTTCTTTAAGCACTGGAAGATAATCCACAAGTCACATTCGTATGTTGCTACAGGGAAAACAAATGCTCTAAACAATTTTAACTTTGATTTTTCTTGCTGGTGCTTAACAATAGATTTTAAATGCTACGTTACTAATTACCTTTCAAAAATAATGTAATGAACAAGTATGTAAACAGAATAATGTTTTTCTTCTTAAAATCCATGCCATACAGGGTTGATAGTCATGTCTATCCACAACCTTCTGTCTCATGTACGAAGTAACATTAAGTCCAGACTGGGTAGGGCACTCTTCCATCCAGACAGAAGCTGGGGGTATCTGCCCTATTCAGCCAGAAACATCTAATGCCAGAAACTTTAGTCACTTGTAAAACAGGCTTGTTAAAAGGCAACTAAAACAGATGTGCACACAAAAGTTCTGGAATATGAACAAACTCTACCATAGTTTACAGCTGGTGAACAGTAAGAATAAAAAGAAGCAGAAGAAGAAGAAGAAGTCTTTTAACATATCATCACAGTTGGTTGTAGAAGCCCTGTGACCATACCACTATATCCAGCTAAAAACATCCCTTGCTGGTTCTGTAGAAAAAAAAATTTACATCAAGGAGTTATCTCTGACCTGTCATCACTGTTAGAAGGTGCTTCCTCCTCTTCATCAGTTGATGATTCTGCGCTGTCTTCCTCATCTGAGTTTAAAGCTGGTGACCTGCACAGTTTGGAATACAATGAAACCTAGTTAACAAAAACTCCCTTAACTCTTTAGAATCCCAGGGGGTTTAGTATCAGGGGCAGATAAAAGCCAATGCAACGAAGATGATCCTCTCAACTTTAACTTTTCATAAAATAAAATTAACCCTTAGCTTAATCATGGGCTGAAAGAGTACCACCATGGAAGCAACAACACTTAGTACAGGCTAGCCATAATATTATTACTTCATGCATGAGGCCTTTTGGTAGGCCCATTTCTTCTCCCAGGTAGTTATTATCTTTTGAATATTTTCTCCAGGTTATGCTGGTGTGTTGGGAAATAAGCAGCGAGACAGACTGGCCAGTTCTGCACCATTTGGTGGTGAACTGATGTATGACAAGCTAGATGTTGTAAGGGTCCTTCTGAAGTGAGTGAACGCTGCAGAGGCACAAATAAATGGATCATTACAGTCTGAACGAACGAACAAACTTTTTTTTAAAGGGTTAAGAATTGGGCACGCAGGCCCGTCTAACATTCTGCCCTTCGAGGTCTCCCTCCATTCTTACATCATTTCATTCACACATCAAGTAATATTAAAAGTAAGCAATAGCATCAAAATAATCAATACAGGCACTAGAATGTGCACATTTTTAACTACAGTAAAACGTATTAGTTGTAACAAATCCAAGGAAAATGGGCGCTATTTTTCACATATGTTTTATCTTCTATGGGGGCATATAATCAGTGCTGAGATAATAATCAAACAGTTTCCGATTGTATGTATATGGACTAGTGGTACTTTTGATTTGCTGTGGTAGATAATTCCACAATTGAGCTGTGGAATATGACAAACTTGTTTTATAAAGGTCTATCCTAGGTTTAGGGATGTGTAATATGTTTAGGCACTTACTATGCCTTTCATTATATTTAAACAACGGCCATAAGTAACATGGAGCCTTTTGAGATAATATTTTGTAAGTATATTTCGCCTTATTGAAAAGTAGACGTTCACGAAGCGGTAGTATCCTAAGACCTTTATATGTTTCGGAGCTCACTGTCCCATAATTGTTACTAATTAAGCGTATGGCGCACTTTTGCAGTGATGTGAGTCGCTTGATAACAGAGCTGGAACAGCCATCCCATATTGTAGAGCAATAGTCTATATATGTCTGGATGTGAGAAATATAGAATATCTTTCTTGTGTGTTCATCAAGAAAGTTTTTAATTTTTGCAAGCTGGTAAACCTTTTTAGCTGTTTGCTTCACAAGTGCTTGTACGTGTGAGTTGAAGGTTAGATCAATTACCAACCCCAGTGTCTTGTGCTCAGTTATATTTTCTACTTGAGTGTCCCCAATGTAGAGTTGAAGCGTTCTCTGAGAATTTAAACTGTATAGTTTTTGTCTGGTCGTTATAAGTATGGATTTGGTTTTATTAATGTTTATTTGCATACGGTTTCAGGGGATCTGGTCGATGCTCAACACTCAAGGGAAAGGCGAGATGGATGTACAATCCAACATTTACTGGGACAATCAGAATTGGAACTCTTGGCTTGCTGCTAAAGAAGGGTACACAGCCTTTATAAATAGTGGCTTGAGTGCTGTGACGTCAATTCTTAACTCAACATTTATTCTCCAGATAACCCATGGATATATATATATATTCTAGTTAGTATACATGTCATGTGGACACCGATATACTCTTTGTGATTTCAGCTATGGAGTTGTTGTTGTTGAGCTAAGAACTGAGATCACAGCATTCAGGACATTCCCAAAAGCATTCCATCTATCTTCAGCAGCCACAGAAAAGTTCCAATTCTGATGGTGCCAGTAGCAGTTTAATTATATGTCCCTCTTGCATTGCTACCCACTTGGTAATTCTGGGTTCAATACCAGCTGCAGTCAATCTGGCAACAGACCGATTTGCAGTGGATTCGGTACTGGTAGCTGACCGTTCAGAAAGCAATAGCAGGGACCGTATCTGGTACCCACTTAAGGCGGCCGGCATGATGCTGACCACATCACCCACCAAGCGCCGTTTGGTCTATAAAATATAGGTCTAGCCCTATATACGCAATATGCCTGAAAGGTGGGGAAAAGGGTCCTTTACTTTACTTTACCCTGGTGACCAAGAAAATGGGGATGGGGTTAAACTGACTCGCTCCGGAATGTCCCATTTTCAGTTCAAAATATTTGTGGGAGGTAATGTTTTCAGCTCAGGATATTATGTTCACCCTAATTAGGTAACCTGCGTGATGCTGACCACATCACCCATCTTGTGCCGATTGGTCTATACAAATATAGGTCTAGCCCTATATGCCTAAAGGCGTGGAAAGGGGTCCTTTACTAATCAGGTACAAAGTGATACATCAATCGGCTCTCTATGGGTGTTATGGTCAACAGCTGCCTTTACTTCCAGCATGTCTCCTGGTACCAATTTTAGGCTGGGCAACTTGGGATTGCAGTTCATTTAGGAAATTATGAAAAGTCAACTTCTGCATAGACAGAAGCCAGCATCTTCTGCTAGCAGTCAAGTATCTAACCACTCACTTTACTACTAAATTTCCCAGTTCCTGGTAGTCTGATAAATAAAACAATGTACTGATTACACTCATAGATGTGTAAGTAATAAGTAGAAATAGGAGGACACATAAGACCACCTCCCCCAAAGAAAAAAATAACTCTGAAAGCTATTGTTTTCATGCTATCTAGTGTGTCTTCCTATACCACTGTCGAAATCAATGCAGGGCACTTGTGACAAGAGCAGTTGAAAAAAACCAAGTGGGATAGAACAGGTTAATGTAACAAATGAATGTACCACAAAAAGTTAACATGAATTTATAACGTAAGGGAGCCTGACAAACGCATGATGCGTTGCTTGGTGTGTCTTCCTATCTTTACTTCTTTCCTCTAGATCTATGAGTGCCAATCAGCATATGTCAACTTAGGCTATTTTTCTATGGACTAAATGAGCCCAGTAGCTTATTTATTGGTTAACTCTTTCAGTCCCATTAAAGTATTTTCTATTTCCTGTATCCTAAGGCAAGATTACATCCAGTAGTTTGCCATTACTTTCTGGATGGTCAGCTTCTCGACACCACTGCCAAAACCAACGCAAGACACGTGACAAAAGCAGTTAAAAAAACAAGTGGAATAGAACAGGTTAAATGTAAACAAATGAATGTACCACAAAAAGTTAATAAGAATGTATAATGTAACGGAGCCTGACAAACGCATGATGCGTTGCTTGGTAATAAAGGATTTTAAAAATGTTTACAGACAATCAACACTCAGTGAGTGATGCTATAAATATCAATCCTTTACTTCTGGGGATATTTGCCAATGACAATTTTATTTAGACTGAGTTGATGTGGGAGACAAGATCAACTTTTTTTGTAAAATCCACCCATTTCAGATTTAAACCCAAAACTTTTGGACAGACAGGTAAGCATGCAGCCACTAAAACTACCAGGGATTCCTTATTTCTGGATAGTCTGCTCTTATTTTAATTAAAAAAAAAAAAAAACACGTGTTTGTTGCTCTAATATGAACTAAACACAGAATTTATTTATGCAATAACAGCATTCTTTCTTTATATAACTCAATGAAGTGTGCACCAGATAATGGAAACACAACATATGTGATCAGTGGGGCATCACATCTAGTGTTGCGTGGCAGAGGTTTGATACATATCTTTCTTGTGCAGCAGACAAAGCTGCGTGACACCAGGTAAAATTCTACCCACCATCCCCCAATGTATGAATGGAGTTTTTTTGTGTGTATACAGCTTAAATAACCTGAATGACCTGGGGTAGAATTTTAACAGCAGAAAATATGTGAGGAGAGCAATTTTGCTTTGTGTGGTCAAAAAATAAGTTTTTCCTTGCATATCTGCTGAAAAAGTCAACTCTGTGGATCAAGAGTTATGCACAGCATAATGGGAATCTTGTTACCACTGGAGGAAATATGCTTCAGTAGCAAGAGTGTGCATTCCCATCATTGTGGCTTTTCATAACATTAAGCTGGGTGTAAGCCCATATACACTCACATTAGGCGAGTCAGGTGTTAACAGTTTCTGGGTTGTAGCCACAGTGTCAAAGTATTAGCCAATCAGTGCCTAGGCAGCAGCCATAGTGTCTAGGTGGTAGCCAGTAGCCACACAATGTCTAGCTCTTTCAAGAAGGACCACATCTCTGTTTCTGTCAATCCCTCTGAGTATTTTATGCTTTCTTGCTTGATCTTATTTGTTTCTACATATCATCCAAGGCTTTCTCTCCCTCTCTCTCAAAGTTTTTTTTTTTTTTTGAGCACAGATGTTTGTCAATTTGAAATCTCATTTTTTCTTCATTAAGCATAATCCAGCTAAGTTAACTCAGGGGTCAAAATGTTGAGAATGGGGATAGTCGTGAGCCAGAGGTCAGAGCCCCGGTAACTTATATAGTACTGTTGGCAATGATATGAGGGCCACTTGCCTCCCCCATTCTTTAGCATACTGTTGGCAATGATATGCGGGCCACTTGCCTCCCCCATTCTTTAGCATACTGTTGGCAATGATATGCGGGCCACTTGCCTCCCCCATTCTTTAGCATACAGTTTGCAATGATATGCGGGTCAATTGTCTCCCCCATTCTTTAACATACAGTTGGCAATGATATGCGAGCCACTTGCCTCCCCCATTCTTTAGCATACAGCTGGCAATGATATGCGCCCCACTTGCCTCCCCCATTCTTTAGCATAAAATGCGTGTGATTGCTAGTGCATATGCCGAGACAGCAGTCTGTCAATCTTTCCACAAGGGACTGTGATAAACATTCTATGTGTTTTTCGTTGGCACAGGAGTAGGGCAACTATGGGGTGACCTGTTTGCTATGAAGCTGAAACTAAGATGACCAAGATTAGCAAACAATCAGCAACACACACAAAACCAACATACAACATTTAGCTAAGAGTTGACTCACTTCACCCTGTCAATAGAGTGCTCTGACTGTGATGATGTGGAGGATGACTTTTTCAATTTCATTAAATTCACTTTGGTTTCAATCGTCATTTGGAAGCCTCCAGCATAAGTCAGATCGAGGTTGACCCAAAAGCCACGATCGTCTATGTAAGGCCTGCTGGCATGTCTGATACCTGGGACTTCTGAGCCCATGTTAATATCTGTTACTTGAAGCTCCTCTATGAAGTGTGGGACCTAAAACGTAGATCAATTGAAAATTCTATTGAGAATCCTCACTATATTTTACCATGGATCAAAAGCAAATTTTACCATAGATGCTTTAGATATTGTATCTATGACAGTTTAGGATCTTCTCTCTCTACTAGTAAATGCTGCATGAAATTAGTCCTTCTAGAGCAGTAGTTCTCAACCTGCGGGTTGCGACCCTTTTGTGGGTCGAACAACCCTTTCAAGGGGTCGCCTAAGATCACGGAAAACATAATTCACCGAAGTTATGAAGTAGCAACGAAAATAATTGTATGGCTGGGGTCGCAACAACATGAGGAACTGAATTAAAGAGTCATTGCATTAAGAAGGTTGAGAACCACTGTTCTAGAGCCTTCAGACTTGTGTACTTTTAATCACTTTCAATACAATGAGTCTTCTTCTTATGATTCACCAAATGTAAACCCCCCCCCCCCCCCCCCCCCCCCAAAAAAAAAAACCAGTTATGGCTGTTCATCCCTTTACCATCTCATCTCTCAGGCAGACACACTTCCACATCAAACAAATCACCACTAAACAGATGCCTTTTATGACAGGCTTATTGAAGGGCAGTGGATCCATTCTTTGCTCTCCCCAAAATGAGGCTCCAGAACAATAAGTCAAATGGGGTATCTAACTAACCTATTAAAAAATAAAAAATATCAAAACACGTGGTTAAGACATCGGTTGTGCTGCATACTACAGCAAAGGATAGAACGATGTGTCATGCGCTGATTGAAGGCCCATGCTCCATAGTTACCATTATACCACACCCCCATTCCTCTTTTCAAGCCTCCCCTTACTACTTACTGGCTTCATGACAAACCTTGGCACTTCTAAGAGTGGGTTCCCAACGGGTTCCCTCAGCCACCCCTGGCTACCCAGACACCCAATTCCCATTAACTACCATTTTACTGTCCCTTAGGACCTCTGTGGAGGTTCCACTGCTTTGACTTGCCTTCTGTTGACTCTCTAAGCCTCTGCATAGGCGAATGTGACATTACAATTTGCTGGTCAATGGCTGTTCTTATACAGCACATGTCTGTTCTTACACAGCATATGGCTGTTCTTATACAGTACATGGCTGTTCTTATACAGCACACGGTTGTTCTTACACAGCACACGGTTGTTCTTACACAGCACATGTCTGTTCTTACACAGCACATGTCTGTTCTTATACAGTACATGGCTGTTCTTATACAGCACACGGTTGTTCTTACACAGCACATGGCTGTTCTTACACAGCACATGGCTGTTCTTACACAGCATATGGCTGTTCTTACACAGCATATGGCTGTTCTTATACAGTACATGGCTGTTCTTATAAGCACATGGTTGTTCTTACACAGCAAATGTCTGTTCTTTCACAACATATGCCTGTTCTTACACAACATATGCCTGTTCTTTTACAACATATGCCTGTTCTTATACAGGACATGGTTGTTTTTACACAGCATATGCCTGTTCTTATACAGCACATGTCTGTTTTTACACAGCATATGGCTGTTCTTAAAAGCACATGTCTGTTTTTACACAGCATATGGCTGTTCTTATAAGCACATGGCTGTTTTTACACAGCATATGGCTATTCTTATACAGTACATGGCTGTTCTTATACAGCACATGGCTGTTCTTATACAGTACATGGCTGTTCTTATACAGTACATGGCTGTTCTTATACAGCACATGGCTGTTCTTATACAGTACATGGCTGTTCTTATACAGCACATGACTATTCTTATATACTACATGGCTGTTCTTATTTCTTATACAGTACATGGCTGTTCTTATACTGTACATGGCTGTTCTTATACAGTACATTATAATAATGCTGACTGTTCTATAAACTACAAAATATGAGTCTAGCACTATATGTCCAATGCATAAGCAGCATAAAAGATACTTTACTGTCTTTACTAGCAAAATAACAAATCATATTTAAATAAAAAATGTCAAAACCAGTTGCTACTTACATGAATTTTACTGAGCTTTTTCTGCAATTTTTCTCTGACTTTGCCAATCCACCACTTATCCCTCAGAAAGTCAAAAAAGCACCGTCCGATTAAGGCATTTACCCAAAAAAGCTGGCTGTCACAAAAGACGGGTGACCCTGGATTAAGCACCCTACCTTCCTCCCCATCTTTATTGTGTGCGTTTTTATTGACCTCTGCAGCATCAGAATTCTTGTCCTTGGTTGCATGAGAGGGACTGGAGGATCCAGACAGGGACCCTGAAGGCATCAGTCGACCCATGTAATGAGCAAATGTTAATAGATCCTGTGCCTGAAATGAAATTACACAGTTGTAATGTACAACATAAAAAAAAAAAAAATTGACTACCATATTGTAAAAAACTACAAATTTCTTAAGCTAAATGAAAAAAAAAATTGAGATTTCAAATTAACAAACATCTCTGCTTGAAAGAGGGAGGGGGGGAGAGAGAGAGAGAGAGAGAAAAGAGGGGAAGAGAGAGAGAGCCTCGGGATGAAATGCAGAAACAAATAAGATCAATCAAGAAAGTATGAAATACTACGTGGGATTGACAGAAACAAAGATGTGGTACTTCTTAAAAAGAACTGGGACAAATTCAGGTGAGAAAAATCAATGAGTTTGGGATAAAAATAATACATTAGTTATTAGCACAACTAGACTGTTCTTCTGTTATATGAATCAGCTAACAATATAACTAGATTGTCCTTCTGTTATATAAATCAGCTAGTAATATAACTAGATTGTCCTTCTGTTATATAAATCAGCTAGTAATATAACTAGATTGTCCTTCTGTTATATAAATCAGCTAGTAATATAACTAGATTGTCCTTCTGTTATATAAATCAGCTAGTAATATAACTAGATTGTCCTTCTGTTATATAAATCAGCTAACAATATAACTAGATTGTCCTTCTGTTATATAAATCAGCTAGTAATATAACTAGATTGTCCTTCTGTTATATAAATCAGCTAGTAATATAACTAGATTGTCCTTCTGTTATATAAATCAGCTAGTAATATAACTAGATTGTCCTTCTGTTATATAAATCAGCTAGTAATATAACTAGATTGTCCTTCTGTTATATAAATCAGCTAGTAATATAACTAGATTGTCCTTCTGTTATATCAATCAGCTAATAATATAACTAGATTACCCCTGTTATTCAAATCAACTAATAATATAACTAGACTGTATTTCTGTTATATAAATCAGCTAATAATTTAACTAGGCTGTCCTTCTGTTTTATAAATTATCTTATAAAATAACTAGATTGTCCTTCTGTTATATAAAGTGGTAAATGAAGTAACTAGACTGTCCAGTCTAGGTATCTAAACTAGGTGACAAACTAACTGTATTTCTGTTACATAAACCAGTTAATAAAATAACTAGAATGCCTCCTTTAAAAAAAAATACAAACCACCTAATCAAATAACTGTTTTATCCTTATTTGAATACAAATATAATTATTAAAACAAAACACAGGGAAATGAGAATTAGAGATGAGAAATATGATAAAAATATGATAAGAACTACAAAAGATAGCAAAAGATAGACAGACTCATCATCTATGATTCATAAGGTGCTCAATGCCAGAAAAAAAAATAGAAGGAGCAGATAAAAAAAGAAGGAGAAGGAGGAGAAGAAGAAGAAGAGGAGAAGAAGATGGGAAGGAAGAAGAAGAAGCAGAAGAAGAAGAAAGAAAGAGGAGGAGAAGAAGAAAAAGCATAAGAAGAGCTGTAAATTATATTATTATATCATCTAATCTCTCACAACTTTTAGATAATACCATCAACTTCTCACCTCGCCCTCTAATGACAATTTAGAGGATGTAGAGCTAGTGGAATCTGTAGATCCTTCTCTCTTATGTCTTCGCACACTCTCTGTGTTTTGTTTCAAAGATGGTGAATTCTGTGACAAGACCCGCTTCAATTCCTTAACATGATTGCCTGAGCAGAAAACACAATTAGCTTATTAAATAAAGAATGCAGATAATAGCAGCGATGCCTAAGAAATAATTTCTTCATAAAATGTAGAAGGGAGGCATTTTGTTCCAGCGGCTAGGCGCTTGCCTGCGGATGGGAAGTTCATGGGTTCAGTTTCTGACCGGGACTTTTTTCAAAAATGACCTTAGCTCTCAGGTCAACCCAGCTGTGAGTGGGTACAAGGTACAGTCTAGGGAAGTAAAGACCAAGTGCTGTTTGGTCTATAAAATAAAGGTCTAGCCCTAAATACCCGATATGAAATAATGGTAGAATAAAATGCTAAAAAAATGTCTACCAGTCTTCTTCTTCAGCAGTTTGCACAATGTGTTACCATTTACAGCTAGGCTGCAATATCTGCATATTTAAGCACATCAAGTACAATTTCAGCACACCCCTTATTAGTCACCATTTACAACAATGGTCGAGGAGCAGTGGGTATATTCTTTTTTCCCAAAAATGTAGCCGGGATACCCACATGGGAAATACAGCCTGCAGACATAATCACATGTTATAAAATGGGTACCTGATTAATGACCTGGTTAATAAAGGTGACCGACATGATGTTTACCACATTATGTATCGAGTCCCAGTTGGTCCAATCCCATTTGCCTGATGCGCCAAAAGGCATGAAAAGGGTCCTTTACTTACTTTCTTTTCATAAGAGATAAACAGTATTGTGTGGTTATGTCACAAGAAAGGCATCTGGAGAAAACAGTCATCACTAACATCATCAATTTCCAATTTTCCTACAGTGTCCTCTTGCTTTCAAATAAGATCTTTTCTTGTGTAGCGTCAGTATTAGTAGCTGTTCTGTTGGGTTCTAGTGATATAACAAAACATTTGATCTTTTGTTTCTCAATGAATCTGGTGCATGGTATTGTTCCCACAGTCTCTCTGACAGTATCCTTTCCAACTTTGTCTTGGATGGTTAAGTTGGTGCCTTTCCTCAGGCATCTCATTTTAGTTGTTAATTTTAGGAGAAAACAGCGTTGGCAGAAAGATCAGAACCAGATTACACAGAGAACAAGACAGAGAGAATTATGAATGGGTTCAGACACTGGCATGAAAGAATATCAGGACTAAATTCCAGACATCGACAAACAACCAGGACTTTGTGTCAGAATTTGTGTTTAGTCTGTCTCTTTGCAGATGCTCAGCTCTCGTTTCTGAAATTGTTTCTTCCTTCATTCTCATTCTCTTCAAAGTTTTTAGTACAGAAAAAATTAATGTGGAGGTCTGAACGCAAACGAAAATTAAGAAAAAAAAATGCAATCATCATAATTATCAATAAACCTTTCCAAGGGAGTTCCTGGGACCCATTTTGGGGGAAAAAGAATAGATTCTTTGCCCCCCCCCTTCCCCAAGAAACATGCTGTAAAAGCAGACCAGAGTTTACAGCCAGCGAATCCAAAGAAGAAGAACTGACCTACAACACGGAGGACTGAGATCTGTAGCAAAGTTAACACCGATTCAAACCAGCTTGGGCACATGACAAAGCTGATGATGTACTCACCCAAAGGTTTACCAGCTGCTGCAGAAGACAACCTCTGATACCATTCCTCCTTCTCCCTGCAAGTGCGGGCAAACAAATACAGGAGATTGTGGTCACACTTCTCTTCGGTCACAAACTCAAAATCCATGCCAGGCAGAGAAGATTTCTCCTTCAGAATAGGCTCAGAAGAAATGTGCTTCAGTTTCCCATCTTCATTTAAAGATTTGTTAGTCAATGCTATGCAGATTGGGTACTTCTTGCTCCAGATTCTCTTCCGGACCAATCCGTGTGGCAGGAGGAACACCTTAGCTCCAGGTAGATGGAAGTGTCGCTGGTGAATGAACTGCGGGTTGGGCAGCACCTCGTCCCACATGGCACGTTTGGGGATGACATTCTTAGGTCTTTGCAAACGCAGGTGTGACCCTTCCAGGCTGACAAAGATGGAGTGTGTTTTATTTAAGTGGTAGTCATCAGCTCTGTAGTTGGTGAGCTCATTCATCCACCCCTAGAGAGTAGATCAGCAAAATGTCAGGATTTCAGGGGAAAGAAAGTATTTAGGATTTTTCTAAATTAGCAGCAATGTCAATTAAAGTTTAAAAAAAAATGTATGTCAACACAAAATACAGGCACATTGTCTTTTTCTTTTACCCATAACCCACACTGTCCCTTGCCATTATTACACCAAAAAGGGCTCACAGTCTCTCCAGTCTGTTCTACCCTGCGCAACCTTTTCAAAATCTGTGATGGAATCCAGTCCAGTACATTTGGTTTCTCTCATTAATGTTCGTTAAAGGGTTTCTCTTGGGCATCCCATTTCCTCAGTCCACCCGTTTCCCATTTCAGTGCCTGTTTGGCAATTTTGTGTATACTCTACATGATATGCCCAATAAATTCGACCCAACAAAAGCAGGACAAATCATTCAAAAAAAAAAAAAAAAAAAAAATGGAATACAACCTATCAAAGTATACATAATTTAAAATATCAAGCAATCATAAAATGTCATGAAGAAAATCTGACTACTGTTTTTATAAAAGAAATTAACTTATCAAGTCCCAGACTGTTGTTATTCAAACTCTATAACTATAAAGCAGATGTTACTTTAGCTAACTCGTGAATGCGATATTTAATGTTTGAAGTTTAAATCTGAACGGATCAACATCATGGTAGTAACCCAAAAGTGCTTCGCTCTTCTTCTAACTAAAGTCTGTCGAAAGAAGCTCAGCACAGTGCACAGACTCTATAGCACCGGCAAGGATCCTGAAATACCCCCCCCCATGATAGCTAATGAAGCTGAATAATAACCTAATTGAAAAGATATGGTAAATTAACAATCAAGACTGAATGTGTGAAAGCAAAGTAAAGGACGACCTTCAAGTAAAGCAACAAATAAAGGATCCTTTTAGCAACAGTAGTGCACCAGGCATATGATTCTAGATTCATATTTTTATAGACTAACTGGCACATGGTCAGTGATGCTGTAAAGATAGTGCCAGTCGCCTATACTTCCCAGGACACTACCTGGTACCTATTTTAAGGATAGATTGGCCTTGAAGCCAAGGTTAATTAAAAAAAAAACACATCTGACTTAATGCAGATTTGAACCAAAGACTTTGAGGTCAGTGGGCGAGTATCTAGCTGCTCTGTTACCACAGATCCCACCTACTAGTAAAGTCTTGCAAAGAACATCTACACAATCTTTGAAGTCATCTGTCACTCCTCACAGCAAAATTCTCCTCAGTCCATGATGATCTATTTCTGCATCTGCACAGTTCACTTGCACCCAAACAACCTTTACCCCTCTAGCTTGTCATGCATCAATTCACCACTAAGTGCTGCAGAAACGGTCAGTCTATCTGTCTGTTTTATTTCCCTACACACCTGCATCACCTGGAGAAAAAATCTAAAGGACAAAACTACCAGTGACCTCTGAAGTGATGTTTGCACTCTGCAGCCTATGGCAGTGGTGTGACCAGCAAGACCCACTTGCGTCAAGAAAAATCTTCCACAATTATATCATGGGATTTCAGGACCATTTGTGTTTAGTCTGTTTCTTCGCAACACTCAGCTCTCATCCCTTCTTCCTCCATTCTCATTTCCTGCAAAGTTTCTTAGTACAGAAAAAAAAGTTAATGTGGAGGTCTGAACGCAAATGTAAATAAAGAAAAAAAGATGCAATTATTTTAATTATTAATCAACCTTTTCACTGAAAAGGTGGGGGGGGGGGGGGGGGGGGGGGTGGACTCAACCCCCCACTCCCCAAGAAGCACGTATAAAAGTGTAAAAGCAGACTATTAGTGATGTTCCTTCAAAGGTGGAGTGCACCTGCCGGGGAGATGAGGAACCAACAGTTTGCATACACATATGCCAGATCTGTAAAATGGATGTGTGCACAAAACTCAGGTTCTGGAATATGACCGAAGACCAGAACTTGGCGAACAACCAGGACTGTCCTCCAGAGTTTACAGCTGGGGAAGAATGCTAAGATGAAAAAGATGATGAAGTAGAAGAAGAAGAGAAAACACAAAAGCAGAAAAATCAAACAAACCTTATAAAGGAATTCTTCCCCTTCAGAGTTGATTTTCATTTCAGGCACAGGGGGTGGTTCATCCACATGGGGGAGTAAAACAGGTTTCGGCATTTGTGGCTTCTCTGTTAGCCACATGTACAAGCGCCAGCAGAATGATGCCAGCAATGTACCCATTATAAATCCAGATATGTATGAAGGCAATGGTACAATCACATAAGCAAATAAAACAACTGCTACGGTAAAAACCTCTGATATGGTAGAGCTCTATCTTTCCAACTCAACAGCTTCAAGACAGTATTTGTTGCTGATTTTATCACTGGAACTGCTTTGTCTTCATCAGCAATTTTATCAATAAATTTAGGTTCTTTGATTTGTTTCTCATTTTCTCCCTCAGGCAAGGTTTTAGAACTATCTTGTCCAAGTGGAAACACAAACTGTTTATCAGCAGGATCAGTTTTGTCTGAGAAACTAGTAAATGAATGTGCTCTGGTCTCACTCTTGTTCAAATGTTTTATCTTTGGAGAAGCTTTGGTTTGCTCACTTGTACATAATACAGAAAAGCTAGAGAAATCTTCTGTTGGTTCTATGGAAAAATGTTTTGCAGGCACATGAGTTTCAGCATCAGGTTCATCAATACGGGAAGAATCCAATTCACAAACATCTTGATTAGCACCTTGCTTCCTTTTCAACTGTAACTCAGCTTCATGTGGTTCTATGACATTTTCAAAATTGTCTTCTGTGTTAGAAGTTGTTAATGGCTGAGTGGAAACAAGATCACAGGTAACAGGGTTGGAAAAAGTGTCTTTCTGTGGAGAAGACAAATTCCTTCTTTTTGAAAATAAAAAAGAAGGCACTTCTTTAACTGATGATGGTGAGATTTCTTTCATAAGTGGTTCAGACTGTTGAGGAGATTTATCTTTCAAATCACAAAAAGCAGAAATTTCTTTTTCGGGTGTGGATGAAACTAGTTCTGTGTAAGGAACAGAGGCAGATTCTTTCTCAACTGATTTTTGACTGCTGGTTTTATGAAGTGTAAACAACTTAGCTTTCTCTTTCTCCTGACTTGAATTGGAACTAGAGTCCCCAGAAAATTCTTCAATTTTTCTAGAAATTCTGTCTGTAATTCTACCCTTAAAACTTGAAAACAAGTCTTTTGATGTTTCAAGTTTTGCAATAGTGGCAGTGATGATAGCTAAACTTGATGTCTCATTAGATAAAGAGTCTGGTTTTTTTGAAAGCTTTGAATTTTCCACCACTTTGCCTGTGGTAGTTTTCAATGAAGATCTATCTTCCTGAGCACCAGATACTGCAGACATTGATGAAGCTGAAGAATTATGTCCGCTGTTAGTCTTCACAATAATTGTCTCCTGTTTGTCTTTATTTCTGAAGAGATTATCATCATCATCATTATTTTCTTCTAGCTGTTTGAAACTAAAACCTGATAAATCTGTACGAGCCCCTTGTTTAGAATCAGAAGTTGACAAGGCTTCCTTGTCGTCCTTTTGCAAATTCATTTTGACACTGTGAAAAGACAATTGAAAAAGATAACTGAATTTGTGTTAAAAAAAAACAATCAATAAAATGGAAAAGAATAAGAACATTTAGAGACAACATGAAAAGGGAAAAAAAGAAAAAAAGAAGAAGTTAACCTAATTATTATCTTCTTCTGAATCTCTCTACAAAGCTGCTGGAAACCAAGATGCAGTTTTAAAACTGATAATAATTGTAGGATATTGTTGAATGCATCAAAATGCCTCATCTGAAAACAAATGACATTAATAGACGAAACAGAACAACTCAAACTGCAAACAACTCAAAAGAACAGGTGTTAGCCAGAATAATTGTCTCTGTTCTGCATATGGACACCATTTCAGCAAGTCTTTAGCCGTCATTTTACCATTTCCACAGTTACAGTCATCAGTGTCTCTTACCTTGAGCTTACTGAACAAGTGGTGTTTCAGTTATATTATTTCCTGTGTGCCGAGTCTAAAGATCACTAATTGTTCTCTTCGGTCAAGCTGGTAGTATGTATCATCCTTCTTGTAGGCTGGAGGTTAAGAATCCCATTTGGTAAAATATGTACTCATAAACATTTTGGCTTTATCATGTTTTGTCTATATCAGGCTGAGGTAGTCTTCCACCTTCCTTTGCCAGTCTGTCGCCTTTTCCAGGTATGTTGCAACTGGATGGAATCCATTGTACTACGACTCTTTTTGATTTCTGGCTCAGTTTATGGAGTGCAGCTGTAAAGCCTGCTAGTTCTTTATTGGTTTTGCTCTTCAGTGGTGTGATAACTGACTTAGCATCTATGAAGAGCAAGAGCATATAAGCACATAAGAATGAGGCAGAGGAAGTTCTAGAAAAAGTTGGCAAAATGGTGTTAACTTGTTGAAAATCAACATAATCACTACGCAGCAAGCTAACGAGTGCACACCATCCTGGAAACATAATGCCTCAACCAATGTTGCTGTGTGGTGAGTACCTGCTCTGGGTACAGTGATATTTTAGCAATAGAGTGGCACCACTTATCAAACTCTTCCTTCAACAAATGACAATCCAGAGTCTCCCTTTCATGATATTTCAACATAAATCAATGCAAACACATTCATTAGTACTGATAAATTAATAATTAAAAAAAAAGATACTAGCATCTACACCTTGTCATTTGCTGCGGGACACGGAGCTTCTAGGGGTACGCCAGGTATGCTATGGTGTCGATTCTTAAATCAGTTTCTATTTACAAATACAATTTTAATACTAGTAGTATTAGGGATGCTAGTAACATTTTAAATATTGGTTTTTTTTTACAAATGAAACATTCACTGCTAGACAGAGATTAAAATATCCAATCCAACCGTACCTTAGTTAAGTATTTAAGTCAATTATAAACACAGATTTTAACATTTTAGTGACGGCTCATTGTTCAAACTGGGGTGTCCAGTGTGCACCTCAAGACAATTCTCCTTCCTTCATTTTGAATCCTTTCAAGCTTTGTACACTGTTGGTTCCACCAGGGTGGTTGCACAAATGTTGTTTTTCGTATCCTTTGTCTGGCTGTTTGGCGCAACGAATGCAATGTACCAATCTGATCTTTATTGGCCGTATATCTGAACGCGTGTCGTGGTTGCATTTGCTTAACAGTCTGTCCCTTTGGAATGAGTAAAATGCATGACAGATGGTCACTTTCTTGCGTCCCAAGAACATTCCAATACATTGTGTGTGTGCATCAGTACTGGATGCTAAAGATAGGTTGATCGATCCATCCAGAGTCTCCAGCTCTCTCTGCTAATCTTGTGGCACGGCTATCGTTTAAAACAGTGCAACTCCCTGTCTGTTTTCTCCATTCTTTGACCAAGCGTTAAAATCAGCAGCTATTAAACATTTTGGCTCTCCTCCGAACTTCGACCTGATATTATGGCGGCCATAAAATATCCTTACGGGGCTTAGGCATATGTAAAATGCAGACTCTCTGCCAAGGAACAAATCGCGGCAAAACTAGGATTACTGGACAATTTCAAGAGACGCAACATTGCAGACAATAATAGCGACCGTTAACAATTTTGAGCTTTTCTGCAGACGATAATAGCATGCGCAAAACGTGATTAAACTCACTGCCGAGCGTATCCCCCATGCCGCGCGGACTCACGAGCAAATTAAATGGAGGAAGTTGCAGGAGATGTGGCAGCTGCTACTTGTGAGTCCCAGCCATCTAGTTTAGCCCCCGTAGGGGCACGGGGGATACGGTTGGCGGTGAGGCACAGTCACAGAAACAGGTCCGCAAGTAACATATCGCTGAGATCCTGTTAGAGCATTTGTTTCTTTTGTTATATGGAGCCGGCATATTTTTAATAGAAATGGCCGCCATAATATCGGGTCGAAGTTCGGAGCAGAGCCAACATTTTCTATCATACTGCTCCAAATCTGCTAGGAATTCCTATGCGCCTTTATTAGGAAGTTGATCCACATGCGCGTCGTATACTAAACATTGAAGATGTACCAGGCGTGGTGGTTTACAACTAATCCTTGAATCTTTCCACATGCGCGTCGTATACTAAACATTGAAGTTGAAGATGTACCAGGCGTGGTGGTTTACAACTAATCCTTGAATCTTGAATCTCAAGAAAATGTCACTGTTATACTTTTGTGTACCTAGCCATCGATTTTTGACCCCATGCTTGACATATAATGCTAGACCTCGCTTTTGTGTTCCGTTCCACAGGGATCACTGTAGCAGTCATATCCTGGACACTTAATGATCGAGTCGTCTTTTATTCTGAGTATTCTGGTCTCCTGGATCTTAGAAATAATTTACTCATTCATCAACATGTAGCAGGTCCTTTGCAGAACGTCGCTCTCATCACAGTCTGCCTGTAAGAAACTCAGTCTCTTGCCAGTTCTCCCGCCTCATGAACTTTCACATTCAAGGAGTCACTTATATCCTGTGCCCATCTTCGTGTCGGTCGGCCTCTGCTCCACTTTCCTGGTAACAACATGCCTTTTGCTATAATGTTTTCCAATCCGTCATGGCGCTTGATATGACCAAAATATTTCAGCTTTCGAGAAAGGATGCTGTTTGATTGGCTAATCTTCCTTAATGTTCAGATCTTTTAAGATGTCAATCAATATTATTTCTCATCTTCTTTGTCCAAGATATTCTGAGAATATTTCTATAGCATTTCAGCTCAAAAGCCCCTATTCTCTTTCATAAGGACTGAGAGATAGTCCACGACTCACATCCGCATATAGCCACAGGGAAGATGCATGCTCTCAAAATTCTAATTTTTATCTCCTTACTGGTGCTTAACCATAGACTTTTAAGGTAAGGCTGTTCAAATTTACTCATTACATTATCATTACATAATTAATAACAATCCGGTTAAATAAATGATTATCAAAATAAAAGACTAACACTCAAAAAACGTCTGTTTGCTTAAGAAGAGGAGGCAAAACGGTAACCTCTAATTGCTATCTACCTGAAATAGTTTAGACACAGCTGCAGGATGTATGCAACAGTTGTCAAAAGCCTGAACTCTCACCATAACGCAGATCCACCACGAACACACACTGAACAACCAATGGATACTCTCCTCTGCCAACTGCCTCTCCAAACACGTTTGCTGGCCTTCTTACTTATTATGACATATACGTATTTATTGCATCAAGCCGGCGAAGTTCTGAGCGCGTTGCTTAAAGAAGAAATTACTCAGTTTTGTTAAAAATATCAACGCTGATATAGCTGAAAATTTAACAGATTGCTGTATGTGATAACAGATTAAATTATTGTTTTGTAAACTATGATGTTGTGGTATACAATTTTGATTGGCTTGTTATAAGAGCACATATAAAATCAACATAAAACGAAACAAAACAATTATTTTTAGATCCTGCTGTAAAATAAAAATGGCGAGTGTTTTGACTTCTGCTACTGCTTTAGTAAATACACCCGTGCCGCTGTTTGTGGATATATTCAGACTTTCATAACATTAGCTGTTGTTATTTGGTGGAATGAAACAGAATGAACTTAATCATGTGCCTTATATCAATAGTAATACCTTTACTTTGCTACAGCTTGGCAGTAAATTCACAGGTAATTTTGTGGCAAAGTTACATCACACACTTTGAACTGTTTTGTTTATGTTTATGTTTATATTAATTATGTAATAAATAAGCCATGTAAAACTGTCTCTGTTGTTTTAAGCAACCATGACAGACAAATAGAGTTGACAATATTTATCAGTGGTTTAAACAAATCAATAGCAGATCATTGTCTCCTAAGTTGTAAACTTCAATAATATATTAAATTATTATTATTATAAATTATAGTATGCACTATTCACTGTCTATACTTATACACTATCACTATACACACAGTATACTATGCATTTGTCTCTGAATTACTATTGATTGCCCGAGATTACACACAGATGTGATCCAGTGTACTCGTGTTGAAATTGTGCGGCTCTCTTAAGTAGTAAAATCTTTAAGTAAAAAAACTAACAACTCAGAAATAACCAAATCGTCTCTCCTCCGAACTTTGTCCCCATATTATGGCGGCCAAACAAATACCCTAACAGGGCTTCAGTCGTATGTAAAATGTGGACTTCCTCCGACAAACACATCGCGACAAAACTAGGATTACTGTCCTTTGACAATTTCGAGAAACGCAACAATACACACATTAATAGCGACATGACAAGGAGACTATGCGCTCCGCCGCAGGTTAGCGATAGTGTTTTTTGGATTAAACTCACCGCCGAGCATATCCCCCGTGCCGCGGATAGGGGGCTAAACTAGAGGGTATTTGTTTGGCCACCATAATATGGGGACGAAGTTCGGAGGAGAGCCACCAAATCTGCTGATAGAGTTGATAAAATAAAACTCATCAATATCTCATTCTAGTTCTCACAGAAATTCTGAGTTAGATAGATTTTGTTCAATATGAATTGGTTGTCAAGTTTGTAGTTATTGAGAGAGAGAGAAGAGAGAGAAAAGGGGGGGGGGGGGAAGGAATGGA